ATTGTGATGTAAATTCAGAAAACCCATGGTGATTATTAAATTTGTGGTGTCCTGTAGAATGATACAGTTTCACGTAGCCTTCAGCCAAACCTAGCATTTCCTAGAAATTCCCTCAGGATCTCAAAGTTTGTAAGTGTGTAAGAGATTCAGGGAAGCAAGTTAGGGAGTAAGTCTATCCTTCTGTCTTTCATGTTCTTTTATGTAAGAATTTAATACACTGTATAGAGAAAACTCTCTTACTGACAGATTGAGAATACCTTCTTTTGGACTTCACTGTGGTACTAAGTAGTAGCTTCATAATCTCTAAAGCAAAAAACCATTTTAAGCCTCGAAGCTTTTTTATTTAATTTACTGTATTTTTATTAGTATATGTTTGCAATTGATGCAGTGTACAATCATCTTGGGAAGTGCTTACATGTATATATTATAGCCTTTTTTCTTAATCCCTTCCCTGACCCTCTTAGGAAGGGACAAGGGGACAGATCTTTTCCAGTAGAGAAGTGAAACAAGGACGAGGGTTGAGGAGGAGGGGAAGGGGGATTGAGAAGAATAAAGATGAGCCATTAACAGGAGCCTAATAACTCCATTCAGTGTAAACAGGGCAAATAATATCGGTAAATCAGTCCCATCACTTTGATCAGCACAAGTCAGGGAACAGAGCTAAGGCAAGACCATCCTTTACCAGTCTGCGTTTCTCCAGCGATTGCACCATGTGCCATGTGTGAGCGCTGTGCGCTGGCTTCCATGCTGTATCATCCAGAAAGGAGGATTCTGTGTGTGTCTCTGCCTGTGTCTTCCCTTTATCACCAGAAGTCAGTTGAGAAACAGAACTCTAGTCTGTGGGGGAAATTCTTCCCACTGCCACAGCATTCACAGCTTCACCACTGTGTCTCTGGAAACTCAGGATTTAACCCTAGCCTTTATCGCTGTATGTACCAGCCTCTCCCTAGGTCTCACTGCTTATCCCTTATTTATAAAACCCTAATCAATGAATCACCAATTCCCTGCATTTTGACTTTGTCTCTCACTTTTCCCAGTTCAAAAACATTGTACTGTAGCCTCTGGTATTCAATTAGACATCACCTAAATTGTCTGTCTCTGCTGCATCTTCTCTGAAAAGTAATTTTCTTTTCTAATCAAAACCTAACTTTTCCCAAAGTAACCATACTTCCCATTCTCCTCAAGCAGTAGATTTTTCTGTCTCATGTCTCTTGTACAACATAGTTACTCCCTTGCTCTTCATGCCTTACTCCCTTATTTCTAGAGTGCATTTGTTAATCCAGAACTGTCACAGAACATGTTCAAAATTTAAAGCCTCGCTACCTATTTTCAGGCAAGTAGACATGCTTTTATTTTGACAGCCTAAGGTGAATGACAGCACTTATGGTTCACTAATTATACTTTCATTACAAATCTATTGTTTGTTTGTCTTTTTAAAAGTGAGGTTCATTCATGTTCTGCAATAAGTTCAATTTCATCCCTTCCTTTCTACTGTTAAAAGTTCGTTTACTTCTTTTCTTCCTTGCTAGGCATTTGGTTGGAATATTTCAAAGAGACTGAGAAATTGCTAGTCTGTTTTTTTAAGTTGTAAGATAATCTGGGGAGAATATACCTTGATAGAAGCTTAGTTTTTTGTGTTATATTTTGTTTTGTTAAATCATCCTCCAATATAGCCGTCCCTCTGTTTCTGCAGAAAATTGGTCCAGAACCTTTCAGGGCTACCAAAGTCCGCAAATGCTCAAGTTTCTGATACAAATAGCATATGATAAGATTTATCATCCTCTATACTCTAAATCGTCTGTAGGTATCCTTACTATACCTAGTAAAACATAAATGATATGTAAATAGTTGTTATACTGTATAGTTTAGGGCATAATGGCAAGCAAAAAGGTGTCTGTAATGTTTATATGTTGCAGTTGTTTGAATCTGTGACTGGAGCACAGGGATGTGGAGGGGTGACAGTATTTTCATGGCTTGCTTCCTTATTTAAGATGGTCAGACATCCATTTCCATAAATGACTATTAATTGGAGTGTAACTATTCAACTGCTGTGCTCTGGATACTTTAAGGATGTTCCTGAGATACTGCTTCCTTCGTCTTCTGAGTTTTGCTTCTGAACAGAATCATGATTATCCATTTATTGTAGGGTGGTGTACAAAATTAGCCTTATCTTAAGCACACTCCTCTGTTAAGAATTTAGAAGTATAATAGATCCAGAACCAAAGTGATGTGAGGCAGAGGGATATTTCAGTTTCAATCCAGAGGTGGAGAATTAGCGCTTCTTTGGAATCGGTCTACTAAGAAGTCTTCTAAGAAACCAGGATGTCCTGTTCCACCCTCTGTTGCTCTTGTCTACATGGTCTTAGACTACTAATATGACCACAATCAAACAAAGATGGACTGAAGTAAGAGAGTAGGGAGTGTACAGAAAAGAGCACCCCCTCCTTTAACCATATGATTCTGAATTTGCATACGTATTTCTACGGATATCCAATTGGCCAAAACTTCTCTGAGAATTTAAGTCTTTAAACAGAGAAATACTCGTGTTACTACAAGAAATGTATTTCTTGGAGAAAATGTATTTGAAGATAGGAAACTAGCTGTTTTACAGTGCTAAAATCTAGGAATAAAATAGCACACTGTCATCTCTCTAGCTGTTTACAAAGTCCTTATAGTAAACTTTGGCTTAATGTAACCCTTGAATTTGGCAGTAATCATGTCTTAGTTAAACTGTTGCAATAAAACTCAAACCTCTGTTTCAAATCATTTTGGAAATAGAAGTTCAATAGCAAAGTTCCTTCCAAGCCAGAGGGAAGAAAAGAAATAGATTGGGAGGGGGGGAGAGCTGAAAACAAGAAATTGAAGCTGGTCTGGTGGCATACACCTGTAATCCCAGCACTTCAGAGCCTGAGGCAGGAGAATCTCCATGACTTTGAGGCTAGCATAAGCAAGGAAAGAAAGAAATGAAGAAAACAAACTTTTAACACTAGAAAAGAAGGGATGGAAGTAAACTTACTGCAGAACAAAAAAAAAAAAAAAAGTAGAAGAAGAAGTAGACCAGGGCCCCCAGGACCTGGATAGCCTTCCAAGGTTTCATGAGCTCTATATAACTGTAAGTGAAATTGTTTCTTAATGTACATTTATATAGCATAATAGTCATAAACATGAGGCCTGAAGTGAAACAGAGTTTACTTTCCAGATCTTTCATGTGCTAGATTTGTGAATTATTTTCCTGTGCTACCTACCTGTGACCAATTTTTTTATCTGAAATATAAGAGGAATAGGATAACCAGTTAACATAATTGCTGTAGGGACTAATGTGGGTTAATATATTTAAAGCATATATTATAGTGTCTCACTATATAAAATACTGTATAAATACTAGTATTATTATTATTTGTATTCTGGCACATGGGGCAATCGTTTTGAGAAATGCAGACTGGTAAAGGACGGTCTTGCCTTAGCTCTGTTCCCTGACTTGTGCTGATCAAAGTGATGGGGCTGACTTACTGATATTTTTGCCCTGTTTACACTGATTTTCTTATTGTTGTTTTGGTTTTGAAACAAGGTCTCATTATATAGTTTGTGCCTGTGTAGCCCAGGCTGGCCTCAAACTCATGGCAATCTTTCTGCCTCAGCCTCCTGAGTGCAAGGGATTGCAAGCATGCCCACCTCCAATTATCGATCTGATTATCAGTAAAGTCTGTTATAAATTCCAATCCATACTTTAAAGAAACCTCCTTCATCAATTTGTGATCTGCATTAAATTCAAACTTAAGGGCTGGGAATCTAACTTAGAGGTAGAACACTAGACAAGCATGTATGAGGTGCTGGGTTCAATCCTACGCAATAATAATAATAATAATTCTAATAACAATAAACTTGCTGTTTTAATCAAAAATCATATGATCCTCATAGTGCAGAAGATTTTTGAGTGGAATTTGCCTTGCTTGCATCTTCTTTTAGAGTTTTCTTGTATCAAGTTTGCAGTTCTGTTTTAACTTTAATTTTAGTATAATAGAAATTTGTATTTACTTTAGCTTTTTTGTTTGTTTTGTTTTTTTGAGATAGGGTCTCACTATGGATTTCAGGCTGGCCTTGGACTCACTTTGTAGCACAGGCTGGTCTTGAACTTGCAACAATTCTCCTGCTTCAGTTTCCTGAGTGCTGGGATTACAGGAATGTGCCACCATGCCTAGCTTTTAGTTTGCTTTTATATCACATTTTTCATAAATTTCAAATTATTTTTAGGGTTTAGTTTAAAATAGAAATTGGTTTCTTTTCCTTTTCAAAAGCCTTGTGCAGCTAGTTCTATATGACAATTTGAACATCAACAAGTTGCAAATGTAACTGTAGGAATGAGTTGGGTAGTAGATGTGTGGAGCAGATGAATTTTCATTTTTGTCATTCCTTGAATTAAATAAAGTGAGATTGAGCCAAACTGTATCACAGCTGAAACTATTACATGTTTTTAAAATAATGAGAAAATAAGAACCTATGCAGCTGTTCTTTTTCTGAACAGTAGTAAAGAAAGTAGTAAAGAAAGAGTAAAGAAAGAGAGATGCTTCAGTGTTATTAGCAGTAAACTCATTGTACAGTAAATTGCCAAATGTCATATTTAGTATCACTTTTTTTATAAAGCCAGGCCAACAATAAATGTCCAGTACGTTATTAATCTCCTTTAGCTATACAGAACCTGAAATGCATTTGCATTTTAAGTTGCTTTTGCTAAATCTTAAACAATTTTGGCAAATTGGTTGGTATCAAAACTAGAACTTAAACACGAAACAGCTGTTGTTGAGTAAATACAATTTTCATAATGTGAATATGTTAAATGAAACATTTAACAAACTGAAATGACCTGTTAAACATCACCACTTCCATGTTTAACTACTGTTTGACTTTCTCATTGACTCATTTGCTTTCTCAATAGATTATTTATTTTAAGTCAAAGAGGAAGAATTTTATTTAAATAATCCATATTTTTTCCCCATCTGCAGAATGTACTGAAGAAAAATGGGGATTTCCAATGTGCCAGTATTTAAAAGAAGAGAGATGGTGCTGTGGTCATAATGCCAGAATGTCAGCGTGTTTGGTATGGTTATATTTTTCCTAGAGTAAAATCTTTATACAGATACGGGATTTGTTACTTGTGGTTTATATCATGCAGTAAATCCCAAATTTTGTAGAGTACCATCATTAATGCTTTTATGTATTAAAGATTATGAGAAAAAAATGATTTTCATTTCAAATATTATCCACTTTGAATAACAAGTATTTGCATGTTATTAATTGTATAAAATGTACCAACTACCAAATCTTAAACACAGAATCTGTTTAGTTCTGTACACATAGCCTTATGACATCTTTGTAGACATTATTTCCTCGAATAATTTTTTTATAAAATGGAAAAATATTAAGCTACCTGACATATAAAGTATCTAGTTAAGTAAAAATTTTATTATGGTTGATTTGACTACTGTCCTTAGACCTAGAACATTTTAATCCTTGGTGCTCTTTGTTCATGCCATGATGTAGCTTTACAAAGAATAGTATATGTGATTGTGATCAGAAGTTTTAAATACCACATTTATATTGGATGAATAAATCTATATATCTAAATTACAGCATGAGGACTATAGCTAAGTCTCTTGTATTAATGCACACTAAAATTTTCTGGGAGTGTATCTTAGATGTTTTTACCACCCACAAAGATAATTATTAGATAATAGATCAAATTACCTATCTATAATAATCATTTATATATGTATCAAAACATATATGAAAATATATGTATATGAAAATATGTAAAATACTTGCATATTAAAAGTGTGTTATAAAATTTTTTAATGAAATGTAGTTTGTGGGATAATATATTTAAAAGTTAACCAGAAGTTAAATTAATTCTTTAAAGCCCATCATCTCTATGTTGATTACATAGCAACATAAGAAATAGTATACCAGTATTCTAGATTGTCTATCCTAGAATAGTCTTAGAAATGTATGCTCAAATAATACTTTTATAGCCCTACTGAAAGTACTTTCTGGAAACTTGTCTTGTTCTTTCCTTTTATGTGTAAATGTTACTTGTTCAGAATCCTGTTAGACTGACAGATCATTCTTGAATGATGTGGTTCCCACAGTGTTGACAAGCAGATTTATGCTCTCCAGGCAAGACATTCAAATAGTCCTTTCAGTGAATGTGACTATCCTGAGAGATAATACTTAAAAGATACTGACAGCAAGGATTTTGCTGTAAAACAGGATAGATCTATTTCTCTACGGTGGCACCCACAATTAGTGTACTCAGAAGCATAATGTTTTCTAATCAGGTTAATGATACTCCCATTTTAATGATCAGCAGACTAACAAAAATCACTAATTAAGGTTAATACCTATTATATTTTTTTAATTAAAAAAAGCAACTTGGTGGAAATGGAAAGTATCCAAAATAAACTAACATACAATGACTATTAATATCCTTTAGAAAGGTAAAAGAATATGTTGTATGCAGAACAAGAATAATTGATATAAAAATAAACATGGATCAAAATACCAAAAAAAGTTTTTTTGAAATATAAGTCCCATTAATGTAGACCATGTTACTCTTAAGAACTTTCCCTGAGCCATGGAAACTCCTCATGGAATGCCCATTTCCTGAGCTCCATTCCAGTCCTTATTCACCTTGATGTCTTTTGGTACATCTCTGCTCTGTAACTGATCTTTTTGAAAAATACTCAAAGTTTAGGTACTTTTCATTTTGTTTTATTTTGATTTTTTTAGTTTTTGTAGAAGGCACATTTCACAATGGGTAAGGGTAAGTAGGTAAGGTAAAGAGATAAGGGTACTAAATTTGTTTGTTTTAGATTAAATTGCATATTAACAGTGATGTTATTTTGATGTTATATGTAAATTTATTTATGTATCTCATGTATACATATAAATAGCTTTGGATTTATTTGGTTATTTACACTAAACATGAGTTCAACCTATATCATTTCATTTCTTTCTTAATTCTTTCTGAAATTCAAGAACTATGCATAATTAATGTGTATATGTTGTTTGTATATGACACATATCTATTAAAAATTCAACCTAAATTATACAAACCTACTGCTAACATTCTTTAATGATATGAACACTTTCAAGTGTATAAACTTAAATGTTATCACTTAATTCATCATTTCAAGTGGGACTTTTATAGATCCTTTACTATATGTATATAAATATTAGAAGACGACATAGATCAGCAGTCTTTGTCTTATTCTCTTTATTTTCTAGGCATTGGAGCGGGTTGCAGTAGGCCAAGGGGTGAGTGAGAGTGTTTACTTTAATTCAGCTAATGAATGCAGTAGTTTTTTTTTTCCCCATCAAGCCCTCTTCATGCTTGACCTGCTGATGAACTAAAAACCTGATGGATTTTAATAAATATCACCTCTACTTGTCACCACCACATATTCAAATCTATACATGTTCTGTGTGTTTACTTTAAAAGTGAAGTGAACTTTCAGAGAAGTAAATTGAGCTTTTAGGAAAGTTTCCATATTATACTATTATACGAGCCTCTCATTTATTCATATTACATTAAGCAGTCTATAAATATGTCTAAAGAATATTGTTGCTGACTGTAAAGCTTTTATGGACTTAGTTCAAGCAGAGATAAACAAGATATAACATTCACTGTATTATTTAACTATACCCCAAAATATATAGTTCAGTTCACTTTTTGATAATTTTTATTTATTTGATTTAGTCATAAATTATAACAGCCAAATGGGCTTCCAAATAAAAATGGAAACTTAATATATCCCCTAAATATACATATAATTACATTGTCTTCTACCAAATATTCAGGAGACACATAAAAATATTTAAGAGATTTTAAGGCTTTTCATAAGATTATTTTTATTGGACTTGAATTTTATACATCTCCCTTTTGCTTCAAGTAAAATTAATGTCAATTTGAATTTTTTTAAAAATAAGATAGCAAAACCAAGTTTCACTTACTTACACTAGGCCAAGAACATTGCTAACTACCTTGTATATTGTTGTTACATAAATTATTAATTATGCCTTTCTAAAATTTTATTAAAAACTTTTCCTGGCCATTAGAATTTGTTTAAGTGTATGAGTTTTAGTACAGACTGCTGTTTTATGTCCTGTCCTTCTTGCATACTGGCTTAGTGGATACATATATATCATATATGGACATTAGAGTTTGTTCAAGTGTATGAGTTTTACTGTCAGACAGCTGCTTTGTGTCCTGTCGTTACATATTGGTTTAGCAATTGGATACATATATATCAGAATTTCTCTGCAGCTTAATTTTTCATCAGTAAAATAGAAAAAAATATCATATCAGGAACAATACTTTTCTCATAGGGTTGTTGTTAATGACTGAATGAATAAAACATGTAAACTATTTAAAACAATATTTAAAACATAGTATGCACTCAGTAAAAAGCAGTACCTAGCATATAGTATGTATTCATGTACTCAGTAAATGTTAACAGTTGTTGCTATTACAGATAATTGGTAATGATTGTGAAAATAATATTTTAACCTAACACGGTCTTTCAAAGTTTCACTCATCAATTAAGATAATAAATGCATAATACCGTGAAGTATGTACCGTCATCCAATAGTGCATATGAGGAAACTGCAAGGTAACAATTGCCGAAATTTGAAAGTGTATCTTACGCAGAAGGCTCTCAACTACTATAACCACGTAGCACCTACAGGTCTGGGACAAGAAATTTTATCATAATAGTCCTCAAGGATGTATTTTTTTAATTTTCCAGGTGTTTGGTTATATTTCCAGTGAATGCTATCAATTAGATATTGCTTCAAAGTTACATGAGAACTTAATATGCAGCAGAAATGTGTGTGTTCTAGGTCTCTTAAATGCAGAGCTCTGACTTTCAGCTTAGAGTCTTTTTCCATGAGACTTATAAAATGCCTGTCTAAAACATATGCTTTAAGTGTGTATGCTTTCTGAAACGCCTATTTTTAAAATGCATTACAAGTGGTAAGTAGATTTATCACTTGTGAGGGAAAGTGAACTCTGGTCTATGTCTAGTTTTTTCCTAGAAGAGTCAAACACAAGCTGCTTAGGACATGTTGACTCCCTTCCCACTCATCCCCATCTGTATTAGGATAAACAGTCCTAGTTATTCCAAGAATGTATATCGGAAGGCACTTCGTAACTATTCCTTTTCTTTGGGGATACAGCTGTAAAGCTCTTACTTACTCAGGGTAACCTGGGACTGATTATTTGCTGCATTCTGTTTATATTCTCTTATACATTCTAGTTATGTGTGTTCTATTGCTTAAAATGCATTTCTTAGTTTTTTGATTAACATTTTACACTCAGTCCTTCAGTAATAATAATTATAAATTTATTTATAAAACTTGATACCATTTTACATAATTTTAAACAGCATGAGAAAGTTTTTAGTCTCATAAATTTAAGATTTTTTATCTTAACAACTAATCAAACAAAAAATTAAGACCTTTGCAAAAAATATTTGACCTTTGTAAACAATTTATAGTATTAGTATTTCATTCCATGGAATAATACTTTTACCTAAATGCCTTAAAGTTCCGTAGAACATTAAGAGATTAGAAGTTAATAAAATTATTTCAGATTTTTAATGAAAATTTTCAAAGAAATGAAGAAGATAGAGATTTTTGTACTGTAGAAAAATGCTACTCAAGATGAGAAAATGTCAAATGGAAGATATATCTGGAGATAAGGTATTCTAGATTAAATGTTTTGGTTGTCATAGTTTTCAAGGGAAGGAAAGTTTTGAAATTAGTAGGTTTTGTCTCAAGTGAAGGATTTGTATTTGGGAAGAGATTTTGCGTAGGAAAATTTGTCTTCATTTGTCTCCATTCTTTTTGGTATAGAAATTGTACTTTTTCAATGTTATAAATTTAAATATGAATACTGAAGTGTGCATATGGGTCTACTTTCATTGAGTTATTTCATGAACTGATTTGGGCACTGTGATATTCCTAACACCATTTTCCCAAGGATCAGCTATCTCAGTATTCCTGCCTTTCAGAGGTGACATAATTTGTATTCTTTCAAAGTATTGTATTAAGATGCTGTAAGTGAGCTGGTCCCTATTGATTAGGAGGTCACTGCTATGAAGAGAATGGTTAAACCTCAGCCCTTAACTTCTGATTTTGTGTAGTGTCAGCACCACAGTGTGGGAACTTTATATCAGATAGGTAAGAGATAGTAGAAGAGGTTTTCTGTTTGTGCACAGATGAAGGTTTTTGTGTGTGCTAACTCCATCTGAATCAATTTGAACATATTTATCTCAGTTGAAAACAAAGATAACAAATTTTTACTTCAGAGGAAATAGAAGTTATAAAAGGATATCTACAGTCCTCTGAGTCTTAGTTATGGAACATTTAGTTTCAGCTAGTCAAAGGGATTCATTGTTCTTTGTTCCCCTTGCCCATTTTTCTTTTTCTTTTCTGTTTTCTTTGGTAACCCTGCCTCAAGGCTGGGTTGTTGTTGCTAGTATTATTTTGTGTTGGATGTTCCTGTGCTATCAATACTAAGAGATCTGTGGGCAATATGGATGTAGTTCTGATGACTTTTGTCACCAAACTTGTGTCGCTGAACTGAAGTGTCCTTTTCTCTGATAAATACTACAGTATTTTTTTTTTTACTCTGCTTTTTTGAAACTCTCATCTTTCTATGGGGCCTTTCTCTTCAGCCATTCCTATTTTCCTTTTGAAAGTGTTTGAACAGGACACCTGCCATTTCTTCCATAAAAGTGTTGTCTTGCTATTAATTTAAGCCCTTGTGTCCTTTCCAATGTTGCATTTTTCAACTCTAGAGTAGCTACAGGGTAATTTGTTTTTTTTTTTAAAAGAGTGTAAAAACAGAACAAAGCAGATCAGAAGAAAACAATGCAAGTGACACAGGGTTTCAAAGCAAGACAACAGGATATCAACAGTGGCTACCATAATGTCTCTTGTTTTCTTCAAAATAATTGTCTATATCTTCACACACAGTGAATTCAGACAAAACAAATAATATAAAACTGATCAAAACGAAAGAGTGAAAGCATTACAGGTCTTCAAAATCAGATAATAGGAAAATCAACAATGGCTACTATAATGTCTCTGTCTTGTTCTTTTCAAAATAGCTGTCCATACCTTCATATATATTGAAATTAAACAATACAGAACAGAGTAAAATCACTCCCAACAAATAATAAAAGCATTACTGGACTTCACAGCATGGTGATAGAAAATCAGAAATGGCTACCATAATGTCTCTTTTTCTTCAAAGTAGCTGTTCATATCTTACATAATACAGTCAATTCCCACAAACTGTTTAGAAGTTCTAGGCATGTATAAGCCCCTACATGTACATCTATCCTTTCTGCATTAGAAGGAAAAACAAAACAAAACAAATTACTAGAAAAACAAGAAACAAAAAAGACAACAGCAAAGAGTACAGGATATTTTTGATATTTTCTTACTTAGGTGATATCTTTCTGTTTCTGCTCATGAATCTGCTAGTTGGTACTATCCCTGTTACACTCCCATTAAGACAAAGCCACATTCTCTCCTATCTTACACACATTCTTCCTGACTCTTACTGACTTAAGAGCTGACGAGGCTAGTCGTAAAGGTTTACTTTTAAAAAAAAAAAAAGGAAGAGAATCAAAGGATGGGGGTATAAAAGGAAGGGTAAGGAAATGAAAAAAGGAATTGAGATATGTTATGTGTGTGTATAAACTCCACACAAGGAATGGAAACATAAACTCTAAACATAAACTAATCAACTAAAAAAAAGAAGTTCATTTTTATATTTTTAATCTGATAAGTACTTCATTTGGAGCACTGGATCATTTTTTATTGAGTATGTCTTTTCTCCTTATTGACGATTTCTTTTAATGTTTCTTCTGTTTACTCATACAAGTGTATTCATGGTGGAAATTAGTCCAGGGAAATATTTTACCCTAAAATGAAAGTACTATAAAATCCCCATTTTTGCATAACAGCAAAGTCAGTTCTCTAACATTCAGTGATCTAAACTGTATTATTAACCCAATTTTTGTTTGCATTTTTTTCAGCTGTCTACTGAATCACTGTTCTATCGTGCAGTTCTTCAAGATATTATTAAAGATTGTTATGGCATCACCAAATGGTATGAGGATTTTATTTTCATAAGAATAGCTACAGTATAAATGAAGTGATTTTTAATCTTCAGTTAGACTTATTGATTCATTGTTAGAAAAACAAGCTCTGAATTAATGTAACAAGCTTCAATTAATGTAAGTAACAAAGATAGTATGCAGCAACTGTGTCTTAAGTAGTCGTCTTAACATGGAGGCTCTACTGTTTCCTTATTTTCTCTTAAAGTTTGTTTTAGTGCTAAAGTGATGAATGCAGAATATGCTTTTTTAAGTATGAAAATGTTACATTTAAATGATTCTGTGACTGTATAATCTTATGAGTAGAATTGTATTTTTAGACTTTCTTAAGCAATACAGTAGAAACATTTAACTGATTAGAGCAGACATCATCATAAATATTCATTTCAGCCTCTCCTGTCTCTTTTGTAGGATAGTGCATATATTGTTTGTTTGTTTCCTTAACTGCTCATACAGAGAGGCAAGGAGTAGGAGATTTGCTTGATAATATTGGCTTATCAACTTCAGTATTCAACCATACATTTGCAGTCTCAGCAGATTTCAGGAATACTTTTGCTAATTACAGTCTTAGGATTCTGATAGCTACTTGGTATAATAGACCTATTCTTCAAATTAAAATGAATTTTAAGATTCTTAAAAACCTATATTAACAGAAATAGAAGGGATTTTTAGATTAGCTATTTCTAGATAAGGAAAAGATATTTTTATTGATAGAATTACTACATATGAGTACCTGTTGGTGCCAAGATCCACAATCTCCCAAATGAGTGTGTAGTGAAGGCCCAAACAAATGAGACAAATGGTGTGATCTTTAGGGCTCCAGGAGGACCAAAATCCTCTGCAGAGTTCTTAACTCTGGTGGCTGAGACATACAATGTCTCTGTGTGGTCAAACAAAGAAGGAGTTAGAATGGAAAACTCAGGAAACCTGAGCAAGATCTTGGGAGGGGTTCAGAGACCCCACCAAGGAACAGACAATGGAAATTATGAAGAACTATCGTAGGAGAAAGTCTCCAGATGTCCTCAATTGTTATTTACCAGTTCTCAGTTCAGCCATGCCCAGGCCATGCCACAGCCCTGCATGTGTAGGTTCCAACACATGTAGGTTCCAGCAAGTACCTACCTAATTACTGGTTTCACATTGTCATTTCTAGATAGGTAACAACCATATCTTTATCTTAATGTCTAACAATGAGTTCTTCACACTGTACTGAAGACCAGCTCCATATTTAAAGCTCACACTAAAATGCTAATCTTTTTGAAAAATAATAGTCACAAAATTAGGCAAATTCGTGTCCATTCCAATACTATCTTAGACCTTAAATTTGTTCGTATATGTATTTATTTTTCTCTGAAAGACCTCTTAAATTTGTCTCCATTCTTTTTTAAATCTCTCTGCTCAGTTAAAAATTCACTTCTTACAAACTCTCTGTATTAATGCCTTCCTTTGCTGCACAGAAGATAAATGACAGATAATATTTGTCTTCTTTCATTCCAGAACCTCATCGATCTTCAGCCACGTTTGATCATGTTGATAATTGTTTTCTTCTATAGTCTCTTCCTATCTTCCATTATGTTGCATTCTTCTGAGTTTCTTTCTCTTATGCTGAACATGCATCTTAAATGACCGGAGTCACCTGCCAATTTGTTAATGGGCAGATGTGAACAAAAAAGACAGACCAGAGTGAGCAATGCTTTCAATGCAGTGATAGTTCTAGTGAGACAAAAGTTAAGAGTTCATGGCCTGCCTAGGATGAAAACTTAGGAATAATCTAGATAAAACACTCAGACTTAGATCCCTAAAGGTTTACACTATAAAAGTGAGATTGAACTGAAATATAACAATCTTAAGATGGTCTAGAGTGCCACTTCAAATCATTTCAAACTGTGATAAAAGTATTTCACATTACTGCTTCTGTAACTATCTGCAAGAAGCAAATCCTCTCTGGACAAAAATTATATGTATATAAAAATAGGTGTTTAGGAGATCTGGAGAAAGGCTTAAAATAACTACACTAGGGAGACTTCTACACTGAGAAAATGGAATAGATTTACTTTCCTCTGTTTTTGCTAATACAACTGAAATCTCTGAACATTGATATTAAAACATAAGGAGATTCTGAATGGTGGAGAAAATAAAGTGGATTGGTTAAGGAGCTCAGAACCCAAGGAACAACTCAGTAATTTCCAAAGATTTGAGAGAGACATTGCTTTTGCCTCAAATAACTGAGAGTTGGAGATTAAAATGCTACCAATCCAGAAACACCAATGGGAACAAACAACAGTAACAAAAAATTCTCAATAAAAGGCTTCACTCTAGCCAAAAGATCAGGAAAGGGGCAGCCCCACAAAAAACTTTGAGACTGAGCTGTCATATTCTAGCCAAAAATACAAAAAAAGTATGGCATTCCACTCTTACTCATGCCAACAAAGGCCAAGTAGAAAGCCTACCATTCTCTTCTTGCCAAGCTACCGAGACTTTGTTCCTAAAAATCCCTTTTTGTTTTCCTGCTAGAAAGGCTGAGAAAGGGGCTGCGGATTTAGCTCAGCAGCATAAGCACCTACCTGGCAAGTGCAAGGTTATGAGTTCAATCCCCAGTACCTAAGTAAATAAAAGAAAAGGCTGAGGAAGAAACTGACACTTTCTTCCCCACCAGATTATAGAAACTACCCTGTCACCATAACCACATGTCATAGAGACTGTGTGAGAAGCTTGGTCTTCTACCAACAGTAATAAAGTTTTCCCTCTTTCTGTCTGTCAGATATCAGAAAGGGCCTAGTAAACTGTCAGGACTTTCAGGTGAAGGATATACTGATCTTTGTTCTTTCTTACAACTGCATGTGATTTTACAATTATCTGTAAAAGTTTAACAAAAACAAGCTATACTTAGAATGTAAATACAACAGTGAATCAAAATGCACAGGAAATCCACATGAAAATTTTAAAACAACAATGAAATGATGAAAACTAAGATAATTGGTTTTAACCAACAGATGACTTTAATGCATCATAGAAACAGCTAAGGAAATAGTAAACTGAAAGGTATGTAAGAAGAAAATATTTGGAATGAAACATCACCAAGCAGAAAGAGAAAGTATAAAAGAAGACTTGTTGCAGAGTGTGACCATGGAGGTTCACAAGATCAAAGAGTCCCAGAGGACCTGCTTCACCAAAACTCAGAAGCCTGAGAAAGTCTCAGGAAAACAACTCTTAGCCAAGATATTCATGGCATTTTGTTTATAATCCAAGGCTGTGAGAACAGGGATACAGAAGAAAAACATTGATATGTGAGTTTCGGTCAGGTCACTGGGAAGAAAGAAGATAATGTGCTACATGGCACCTGTCGACTTAATTTAAGTGAGCTTATTGGGGAAAGACAAACAAAATGACTGAAGCAAACCAGACATTTCAGAGAATAACTTGTTGATACCAGAGCTTATTTTTGAGCTACAGGTTTTTAGATAATCCAAATTTTGTCATCACAACTAAGTGGAAAGCAGGGAAACAAGAACATTTAATCTGTGTTTGTTGATCATTGGAAAAAAGAGGAATAGTTATTAAAAAGTAGTAGGAGAATAAGTTCTTACACAGTGTATATATTTCTTCCTTAAGAGAAGGAAACCAAACAAAATAAAACAGAATAAAGCCAACCAAAACAAAATAGTGAAAGCAATACAAGACTTCAAAACATGATAATAGGAAATCAATAATGGCTACCATAAGACCTCTTGTTATCTTCAAAATAGCTGCCCATGCTGTTAGACCTAATAAAATCAAATAAAATAACAGACTAAAATCAATTAAAACAAAACAATGAAAATGTTTCAAAACAAGATAATGGGAAATCAACTATGGCTACCATAATATATCTTCTTATCTTCAAAATAACTGCCCATGCCATCAAATATAATAAAAGCAAACCAAACAAAACAATTAGGCCAATCAAAATAAAACAAAAATGATACAGGACTATAAAACAAAATAATAGGGAATTAACAAAAGCTACCACTTTCCACTTTTAGACATTTCCTCCGCTTTCACTTTTATAACATCTGTTGTACATTTTGGGTCCCACTAACTTCTTCAGTGTTTTATACTAGGGAGACAACATGATATTCACCCGTGTGATTCTGAACCATTTCGTCCAAGACCATGATCTCAAGTTGCATATGTTTACCAGAGGCCTCATGATTATCATTCTTTATAGTTGTGTAGCTTTCCGTTGTATTAAAAATGCCATATCTTTCTCAGCCATTTTGTGGTTGATAGGCAAGCTAGCCCTGCTTTTCCTGGATCCCTGTCACATGGAGCATTGTTTTTACTGCTTTGACTTTCAGTCTATGAATTTCCTTTCGAGTTAATGTATTCCTTGTGTACTGAATATTGCTGGATCTTATTTCTTGATCTACTTTGCCTTTTTCTTTTTATGGATGAATTGAGGTTATCTACGTTAATGATTATGGTCAACATGCACTAGTTCATCTCTGCCATGCTTTTTTCCTGCTGTTGGCTCCCTGCCTTTCCCTTTCATTCAGTTGTCTGCCCCACTCAGTGATCCCATGTTGCTGCTATTCCTGGGATGATGGTCATTTTTATTTCTCTCTAGAACATCCTTCAGTATTCTTTGTATGGTTGGTTTGGTGGTCATAAATTCTTTCATCTGTTTTTTTGTCATGGAAGTATCTTATTTCTCCATCAATTTTGAAAGATAGTCTTGCAAGGTACATTGGTCTTTTGTTGGAAGTTGTTTTCTTTCAGGACTTGAAATACTTCACTATAAGCTCTTTTTAACTTGATGATTTGTGTTGAGAAGTCTATCCTGATTTTGATGGGTTTTCCTTTATAGATGATCTGCTTCTTTTCTCCAACAGCCTTTAATTCTGTTCTTGTGCTGAATTTCTGGGATTTTGATTATTATATGTCTGGGTATAGATTTATTTTGGTTATGAATAGTTAGAGTGCTTCACTTATCTGTATGTCAGGTCTTTTTCCCATGCTCTGAAAGTTCTTAGTTATTACGTCTATAAATAGTCTCTATATAATTTATGTTGACTTCTATCATTATTAAATTATTTTTCTTTGCATCATCTTGCAGCCATTGAATTATTTCCTGGTTTCTAATTATTTTTATGGGATCTTTCCTTTCATGATTGGTAGCTGCCATCTTGTCTTCAAGGTATGAAAATCTATCTTCATTCTTTCAAGTGGTTTTGCCAGCTTTCAGTGGAGTTTTTAGTTTCCTGGATATCTCTCTGAGTCTGTTTCATGCATTTCAATTCTCCTTTATATTATTCAGTCAAGGTTTCCCTCATTCTTCTGTGCTGCTTGTTTTTTAATGTATGACTGCTTTAGGTACACTCAGCAACCTTTTTATTATGATTACCTGAGATGATATTATTTCTGATCTGATTTCTTTTACAGCCTCATGAAATAGTTTCTTTACTTCAGTTGCCATCGTCCCAGAAATTTCAAGTATGCTTCTTCCAGTTTATTCCACATCCATGTCTCCTGGACTTGTTCTGTTTGGGCTGGAGGCCAGAGTTGGCCTTTTGTTCCTTCATCTTGACATTTTCTTGAGTTTCTCCAGACAGGCAGGTTGTGGGGTCCCAGGTACTTCCCACATTGATTACCCACTATAGTGTAGGAGGAAGGGTCAGGCACCTAGATTTCTCCTAACCCAGGTTCCCCAGGAGGCATGAAGTACAGAGTGGACGTGTCGAGACATTCACAGATTCTCCAAGGTATGGCTGGCTGGTTCTCTTGGCTCGCACTGGCTACCTGTGGCAAAGTCCCAGCAGCAGCCTGTGTGCATGCAGGGGCTGGGCTGGCTCTATATCAGTTTGTTGTACTGCTTAAACAAATCACCACAAACTCAGTAGCTTAAAGCAATATAAGTTTATTAATTAGAGTGCTGCAGGTCAGCATTTGAAATGTGATTCAACTGGGCTAAAATCAAGGTATCAACAAGTCTTCTTTTTTTTTTTTTTTTTTTTTTTGTATAATCTAGGAGAAAATCCATATTCTTATCTGTGACAGCTTTAAAGGTTTTCTGGATACTGCGACTAGTCCATGGCTTCTTTCTCCATCTTCAAGGCTGAAACATAGCATTTTTCTCAGGTTTTTCCTCTTCTGCCTTCCTCTTCCACTTTACAAGGTTCTAGTGATTACATTGGGCCTACATGCATAATCAAGATGCTGTCTGTTCTCTGTCAGTAAATTAGCAAATTTAATTCTATCTGAAACTTTGAATTCCTCCTTGCCATGTAAAAAATCATATTCATAGTTTCCAGGAATTAAAGCATGGGCATTTTTAAATCACAAACATGTATAGAAAGAATATCAGAAAGACCACTTCTCTACTCACCACATGCAGAGGAAAGATTAACACTTATGAAATTCAATGATACTGAACTTTCAGGAGATAGTATTGAACAGTTTTTGATTTTGAGATGGGGAAAGATTTCTTAAACTAAATGTAAAATGCAAGTTTTAGAAGACTAAAAATTTCCCATACATTAAGAACTTTCTTTTAAGTTATCCTAAAAAGTGAAAAGAACATGATTGCTGGTAAAAACTAATTCCAAAAGTTACAGCTAACAAAACATGAAAATCTAAATTATACAAAAAATTTCTGCAGAACTGTGAGAAAAATTAATTATGGTAAAATTAAAATAGGCAAAAGACTTGATTAGTCATATCACAAAGAGCATGTCCACATAGTCATCAACAAACGATTAGATGCCAAGTGTTATGGTTTGTGTCTGGGAGGCAGCCCACGCCTCATGCAGTCATAGAGGCAGCTGAATCTAGCATTTGTGTTGGTTCATTGTCTAGCACTGGGATTGGTGGCATGAGTGCAGCACCTGCCCAGGGGCAGAGTTGGCATACAATGTAAGGGAAGGAAGGAGGTGTCCTTTTCTCTCTTTTGACTGTTTGCTGTTTGTGGCTGCTATGAACCATTGTCCCTCAGCCACACCACCCTTCCTTGGACCAGCTGAGCATGGACTGAAAACTCAAAGAAACTTAAGATAAATCTTTCCTTGCTTCCCTTTGGGCATCAGATATTTTGTCTCAGCAAGAAGAGAAAAGTAACAGTGACACTAAATCTTAGTAATAAGAAGAATACAATCTATGTATGTTAAATGGTATTTTTATATTCCTTAAGTTAGCAGAAATTTACAAGTCTGATAAGATCAGGTGTTAACAGGAATAAAGAGCAGCTTGAACTGTTCACATTGCTGGTTTGAAAAAAATTATTTTAACTCCTTTGATACAAAGTTAATGTAAAGTTAGAAAATTGAAAATGTCTTTATAATTGATCTCATAAGTTTTACACCTAAAAATATATCTTAGAGAAAGTCTTATGTCAACTGTTTAGGCTTTCACCACGGCCCAGCACTTGACTTACCACTGTAGGCTCTCCTACAACACAGCCTCTAACAAAACTAGGCTGTCCCGAACCCCAGGGAACAGAATTGTTTACCTCTACACCAAGGTCGGGAAGGCCCCCAAGTCCATGTGTGGCATGTGCCCAGGCAGGTTTCGAGGGGTTCATGCAGTGCACCCTAAAGTTCTCATGCGACTGTCTAAGACAAAGAAGCAGGTCAGCAGGGCCCACAGGGGCTCCATGTGTGCCAAGTGTGTCCATGACAGGAACAAGCGTGCTTTCCTTATTGAGGAGCAGAAAATCGTGGTGAAGGTGTTGAAGGCACAGGCGCAGAGTCAGAAGGCCAACTAGAGGATGGTGCTCTTTGTGGAATAAAAGATGGAAAAGCCAAAAAAAAAGAGAAAGTCTTATGTGTTGTCCTACACACACAATAATGATGAAGAGCAGCAGTGTTTCACAACAGCAAGGTCTAGATACAAAAAATGTATTAATATTGCAGTAGATAAATTATGTATTCATACACTAAAATACTGTGAAATGAAAATATGAATTACAACTTCATGTATCCATGTACTTAACTGTTACGAGTAAAATTTCAGCTGAGCAAAGTCACATAAAATTTCCTATGGTTCCATTTATATAATTTACAAACAAGCAAAAATATGTGATTATGTAGGAGTATGAAATGTAGAAGGCAATCAAGTAAAGTATAAGAATGAAGAATACAAGCATCCATATCATAGCTTCTAGGAACAATAGCATGGGCACTGATGAAGTAGGGAAGAGGAAGAGTCCTGAGGAAGTCAGTGTCCTGGTAATGTATTTCTCAAGTTTTCGTGTTATATGCAAAGGTTTATGCTATTGACATTCACTATATTTATATATATATATATATATATATTATATATTATACATAATATATATACTTAATATATATAATATATATATTTATATAAATGCTTCTAATTGTGCTCAGTATCAATAAAATTTTAGTCTTTTGATTGGCTATACTCCAGGATGAGTTGAGCCACACAAAATATTCCTAATACTTAGTACAGTCACTTCATTTAGGGTTATAAGAAAAAATAATTAAAATGATTTATCTCATAATGAGTCCTTATCTAGAAATTTTCTAAAGGGAATAACATACCGAAGAAGAAAGTTCATGTAGTAAACACCACTTAAAAATTTGGAAAGAAGGCAGGAAAAATATAATGTGTGCACTTCATTTATCTTATTTTTTTCTTATTTTCTTATTTTATTTATGTGTGTTGAGGATCAAACCAAGATCTTACACATGTAGGTAAACGCTGTACCACTGAGCTACATCACCAACCTATTAATCATTTTATTACTGTTTTTCATAATGAGAACTATATACAGCTGTAAGTTTTGCTGCCCCTAATTGTTAACTACCTAGTATAATTTTAATTTTGATGTTAACATAATCAAATTGGGAAAAGAAGATTCAGATCTTAAAAATGGTGTCCTAGAACTAAAGCTAATTGTTGAGTGTGTAATGTGTGGTCAAAAGCTGACTGTAGTGGCACACGTGTGCAATCCCAACGCTCTGGAGGCTGATGCAGCACTGCTATGAGTTTAAGTCTTTCAGTATATGCTAGCATACAAAAGGCAAATAAGATAATTTCATAGATATTTTGTGATGCTGAAAACTGAATTTTGGTGTATTTTGTTCTGCTTTTGCTTGTTTTCATTTATTAGCATACATCTACTTCATTTCTTCCTGAATTCCCTACAATAGTGCTGTTTTTTGAAAAGTACTGTTAGTGAACCATGTCTTACAGTTGCATTTTAGAAATGCATGTGGGTGGTGTTGGGTTCACTTGAGTAGAATTTTAATTAGATCTAGTGTATTCACTTGTATGAAAAGAAAAACTGCTGATTCCTTTTTAGCATGCTGACCATGCTATATTCTGACCGAGGGCCCCTTTTAACCCATTCTTAATTTCTCATCCTTTGATTTCAGTTTGTCACTTTTCTAAGTTGTTGAGAATGATTATTTTTCTTTACATCACCAAACTAAAATATCTTTACTGTGGCCCTGCCTAATCCATCACCTCATCCTTCACCCTCAAGACTCAGAGAGCTACTTACACACACTGTCCTGGTGCGCAGATAATTCATTTCCATGCCACTGTTTTTGAACCTTGTTGTATATTCCAGGAATGCTTATTTTCCCATTTCTGCCACCGTTTTTTTCTCAGAAAGTCTGGCAGATGAAACCCTGAGTAGTCTTTAAAACCCAGAAGACATCTGTCATAGCCCTTTTCCTTCTTGCTGCCTTCCATGTCCCCATGGTCGTGCAGCTGTGATTCACTACTGTTGTTGAAGCTCAGAGTGAACTTTATTGTGTTTCTCCTCCACCACCTGCTGAGCTCCTTTAGAGCCAGGTTTTAGTCTTACTAGATGAAAAGTCCTCTTTGAGCCCCTTTCCCCATATCCATTCTTCATTTCCAACAAATCTTGACAAGCGTTGTTTTTCCTGTTGCCTTTAAATCAGCTTTTCCTTCTGGTACTCCACCCTTCTCACTTCTCAGGTTCTTCCATTAAAATAGTACCCAAATTGCCACTCTATATTGTAAGGGCTTTTCTCTCAAATTCTGGGGAAAGACCTTACAAGATACTCACCTTTTCTCTTTTGCTTTTATCGAACTTTTGTCTTCCAGATATCAAATCATTGGACTGCTTTTTCTTTATACCTGTTACTTTGGTGATTTCATCCCACCCATCACATCCTTTGCTGATGACTGCCTCTTCTGTAGTCCAGTTAGTGACAATCTCACTTTTCCAGTTCAGGCCCAAAGTTCTGAATGCATCTATGATTCTTCTCTTTCTCTCACTGCTAACTGCCAATCAACCCTTTAGCAACCTTAAAAACTCTCCTTTTTAAAATATTTGTAAAATTTTACCACTTTTCACCATCACAGGGCCACCATCCTTGTACAGGCCACCACTATCTCTTCACTAGATTATCATCATTACCTCTGACTTGATCTCTCTGCTTCTACTTTTGCCCTTAAAGTCTATTTTCTCCATGCAGTAAATAGAGTTACCTTATTTGTATTTTAAGCATAAATATTTAAACACATTTTAATATTTATGAAGTCAGCATCTCTTGATCTCATAAGTCAAGGTACAGTTTTTTAGTATGACTCCTTTCTGTTGTTCTTTGTTTTATGTATATTTGTACCAGATCCATTAATTTCTCTGATGTTCTTTGAAAATGCCAGAAACACATCCACCTTAGCACCTTTGCATATGATGAATTCTTTGCCTGCAATGCCTCTCCCCTGATACTCACTGGGAGAGCTCACTCTCTTTCTAGTCTTATGTCAGAATTATCATCTCAGTTATGTGCACTGTCACTCCCTCCTAACATGTCCTGTTTTCTTTTCTCTACAGCCAGCTTTTCATTGTCTTAATACTATCCGACATTTTATATGTTGTAATGGTTTGTGTTGTTCATTCTTGGATTTTTTTTTTTTTTGGTATTGTTTTGTTACCAAGTAGTGAATTCAAGTAATCAGGCTACAGACTATTTTACAAAAACTTCTCAAGGCTTTATAAATCAGATTTTTATTACTCTTTAAGGAAGTTCTCCCAATTGTTGCCTTAAAGAGCAATGAGTTTGCAAAAATATTTTGAGAAAAACAAATTTTTCGGTGAGGTTAATGCCCTGTATAATATCAGCTTTTAAGGTTCCCTGTGTACATTCATATTTTGAAGTCATTAGTGAGAGAGAGCAGAGTGTCACCAAGGAAGCATAGGAAATCTACTGTTGGCTTTCTAAGCCTAGTCTCCATTGTGTAGTGTAGTCTTGAGCACATTATTTAACAACTTCTTCACCTCTGTTTTCTAATCTTTGAATTGGAATTAAGCTATGTACAAGAAACACATTTAACTCAAAAGGAAATTCATAGATTGCAAGTCAAAGGAGAGAAAACAATATTTCATGCAACAGGAAACCAGAAAAAGCAGGGGTAGCTAGCCCACCAACTGCAAAATGGATAAGAAATATGTAATATTTTTATATAGCAGAAAATGACTCACCTAAGGAGGACAATCTCGAGGCTCTTATAGGTAATGGATGTAATTTCAGATCATGCTCATGGATGAAATGGTTCAGATTCACATGGGTAAACTTTGTGTTGTCTCCCTAGTATAGAAAACTGAAGGAGTTAGTGGGATCCAAAATGTACAAGATATTGTGAAAGTGAAGGGGGAGGAAATGTCTAAAAAGGGAAGGTGGTAGCCATTGTTAATTTTCTATTTCGTTTTGAAGTACTGTATCATTTTCATTGTTTTGTTCTGTTTGGTTTTATTCTTATTTGTTACGTTTGATTTTATTATGTCATGATATGGACAGTTATTTTGAAGATAACAAAATATATTTCCTATTGTCTTATTTTGAAATCCTATATTACTTTCATTGTTTTAAGTTGTTTTTATTGGCTTTATTCTGTTTGGTTTTAGTCTCTTTAAAATAAAAAAAATTTTAAATAAATTAGAATTAGTAATAGTAGCTATCCTGAAGGAACAGTTTAATGATTAAATTGGTATCTTTAGCCAGGTGTGGTGGTGCACACCTGTAATCCCAGCACCCAGAAGGCTGAGGAGGATCATTTCAAGTTCAAGACCATCTTGGGCTACAAAGTGAGCTCAAGGCCAGCCTGAACTACATAGTGAGACCTTGTCAAGAAAGTTGAAGAAAAGAATTTTAAATTGGTAGTCTATGAAATACTTAAACCAATGTTTCAGTACACTTGAGTGTTTAACAGATGTCTTCTTATCTTTGTTTAAACCAGTGTTTTATTTGTTCATGTAATTTTTCATCTCCCAAATGGTACATATGCATTTGGTAGTCTATATTACTAAGTTTTGTAGAGGATACTCTGAAAAACATAGAAAAAATCATGCAACAAACAGTGCCTTTACTAGAAGCTAAAAGCTACTAAAAGCTACTTCCAGTCACTTCAATGAGATACATTTCAATAAAGTTTTATTCTTCGTATTTAATAATTTAAAATGAAAACATCATTTGCTTATGTTGTCTACATATACAAGGATTTATGCATTAATTGTATATTATTTGCCTGTAAAAAGTATAAAATATGTAGTTTTTAT